GAGACGCATTCGGTAATTATTTACTTAATCTAATAATTTATAAAGGCAAACATGTTATGAAAGATTGGTGCAAAGGCGGTGCCCAGAATGTTAATTATAACAGTAGTAGTTAACAGGCTGGATGGAATCCGAACATTTTTTGTTGTGGTTTGAAACAGTTTTTTTGCTTCACGCAAACAAACTTTCAGGATTTAAAATTCTAATACTTGATGGCCATGCTTCACATATGAGCTTAGAGTTGAAAAAAAAAAGCTTTAGAAAATTATATTTTACTTTGGCGTTTGCCGGCTCATACCAGCCATTTTTTACAGCCACTAGATGTTAGCGTTTTTAAAACAGTAAAAGGCGCATGGAAGAGAATTGTTGAAAGTTATTTGACTAAAAATCACTTTCAAAGCCTGACTAATCAACATTTTCAGGCCATATTTAAGGATCTCATCCAAAATGGTGGGTTTAACCCTGAAAATGCTCGGAGTGGTTTCAAAAATACTGGTATATTTCCACTCGATCGTTCGCAAATTTCTTCTTAAAAAACTTCCATTGGTGCTGTGTTTCAAGCTGTCGAAAACAACAGTATTAAAAATTTATTTGATTCTTCAACAGTATCTAGTCCATTAGTTATGGGAAATGCTACCAATACACCTAACAGACCGTCAAGAATGTCAAATCGTGAATTTTTGCTTAAAAGCTTTGCTACTTTGAATAATGCTGTTAAACAAGTGGGCAAAGATAAAAATAATGTGTTAAATATGCTTTGAGATCAATTGACACCAACTCTAAATAATAGAGTTCAAAAAAGTGAGAGAATAAAGCGACCAGCTAATTATAATATGACTTTGGCGGATGCCATAGCTTACGATGAAGCTGAACAAGCATCAAAAAAATAAAAATTAGATGAACAAGCTGCAAAGAAATTTACTAGAGAACAAAAAAAAATTTCCACTGCTACTCAAAAAGCGAAAAATGCACAGAAAAGATTTTACTTCACCTGTGAAGTAGACATTGGTACAATAGGGTGTGTCAATTTTAGACTTTTTTTGAAAAAAAAGTTTAATAAAATTTGGGGTATAACTAAAAGTTGCGAAATTTTACGGAGAATCTAAATCTGTTAAAATTTTTTAAATCAGAAAAATATTTACTTAGGTGATTAGCCTTTTTATGAAAGTATTAACGGTTTTTATTTCCTTTTAAACGGAACAACGACGTTACCGGACAATACTGTACGTAAAAAAAAACAGACTTTTAAACAACTTTACAATAAATTTACATTAAAATAAAAAACAAATTTACATTAAGTTTATAAAAAAATCATTTAACTTAATATGTATAAAGTATTTAAAAAACTTTTGTATTAAATGCGTAAAATAACTTTTTATTAAAAAAAAATTTACTCAAACGTAATTTTTTAATCTTAATAATGGTCAGTAAATTAATTTTTCATTGCCGCATTTAGTAAACTACTGCGAACTGCATATTGTTAAATATAAATTTAAGAACTTTTGATCAATTGTTTTCATTCTTAAAATATTAAAAAAAAATTTTTTTTCATTACTAAACAATAATAAATTCTCTTTAAAAATTTTATAACTTGGAGGAATAATGGCACCCACAACCAGAATAAGTACTTGTACGCAAATTAGTGTTGCATTTGGTACAGGAAAACAATTTCTAGTTTCAGAATTACCAACCAACAGAGATGTTATAAGATATGCAATTTTATTAAGAGAGGGCTGCGAAGACATAAAAAAAAGAAATTATTCTGTAAAGGAGATGGCCAAAGATATACTTCCAGCTTTATTACACCAGTGGTCGAGTGCAAATTTGGAATTTACACCGACTAAATTAATTACTGATAAAACAATTTGTGATAAAATAGTGACTTTGTGGAACAACGCTTCAGCAATAGCTTGTCCAAGAAAAAAAGGAGCTAAACAAATAATAAAATTTAAAGAAAAACTTGATAAACTTTTTGATATACTAGTATGCAAATGTCCAATTGTAAAATGTGATGATTTTATTTGTTCTGATGATTGTGATAAAGAAGTTCATTGTAAATGCAAATGTATCAAAGAGTACAAAATACCATCTATTGACGTTAAGTTTATATATTTTCAAAGAATTAAAACTGGAACTGTTAGCAAGTTTCAAATTGGATTACCTGATAGTATTGAAACCAGGAAACAGTTCAAAAGATTACTTAGAAAAGATCGAGAAAAATATTTTGAGAATAAAGACAGCAATGTTATTTTAACTAAAAAACAAAAAATTGAGTCAGATCAGATAAACTTTCAAAAAGAAAGTGATTTTAGTAATGAAATAGAATTAAATGATAACATTGATGATATTACTAATGTAGAATTACCTTTAGTACTAGAGAAATCATTAGGAAAAAAAAGATGTTACAATACCTTAGAAATTTCACACATAGCTATGAATAGCGTAAGGTTTAGTTAAATTTTACTTTTTAAATAAATTTGTTTTTTAGTAATGTATTTATCCTTATAAAGGTATATATATATATATATATATATATATATATATATATATATATATATATATATATATACATGTATATATATATATATATATATATATATATATATATATATATATATATATATATATATATATATATATATATATATATATATATATATATATATATATATATATATACATGTATATATATATATATATATATTTAAAAGTAATTCTATTTCTGTGTAAATTTTGCTCACATAGATATGGGGTATCTGCACGTGCTACAGCTGCAATTGCTACAGCAACACTAATTGATGCAGGATTAATAACATCTGATGATAAAAAGTTAATTATTGATCATAGTAAAGTTTCGAGAGCGCACGAAAAAGTTATTTCTGATCTTAGTAAGGATTTTGACAAAATAGCAAAAAGTGGAGAAGTGAAATGCATATTTTTTGATGGGAGAATTGATCAAACCAAGCAAATGATTGAACTTGATGACTCAAATGCAAAATTTCTAGTAACAGTGAAAGAAGAACATTACTCTTTGTATGAAACCTGGAGGAAAATATTTGTTTCACTTTACTCCTTAGAAAGCAACAAAAAGTGTTAAACATGCAGAGATTATAGCAAATAAAATTGTTGAATGGCTGACTGAGAGAGGTATTGACAAGTCTTTACTGGCTGTTGGTGGAGACTCTACAAATGTAAACACCGGTTGGGAGGGTGGAGTCATCAAACATATAGAAATAAAATTAGGAAAAAAACTTGTTTGGCTTATATGTCAACTCCATACAAATGAGTTACCACTGAGACATCTTATAACCAATTTAGATGGTCAAACGAAATCAAACAATAAATGGTCTGGTGTTATTGGTTCCATGCTTGATCATGCTACAGATCTAGATATAAATCCAGTATTTGAAACTATTAAAATTGGCAATCCACTTATTTCTCTCGATGATAAAATAATAAATGACCTGTCTGCAGATCAATTTTATGGTTATAAAGTTGTTTGTGTCATTAGAAATGGTATTTTACCACCAAAATTTCATTTATTACAAATTGGGCCTGTTTCACATTCAAGATAGTTAACTACTGCTAACAGAATATGTAGAATATGGATCTCTAAACATGGAATTCAAGGTAAAGATTTAGAAAATTTAAGATCTATCACCGAGTACATTGTAGGTGTTTATTTTCCTTGTTGGTTTAAGATTAAAGTTGAACATTCTTGGATTGAAGGTCCTAAACATGTACTTTACCAACTGCAGCAACTTAAATTTCAAAAAGAAGATGTCATTAAAATAGTATCACCCTCTATTCAAAGATCAGCTTGGTTTTGTTTCAGTGAGTGTATACTACAAACATTGTTGTGTTTTAATACTGAAGAGGATGGAAGTGTAGCTATAAATAAGATAAAAGATATTAGAGGTATTGAAAATGAAGATCTACAAAAAGGTGATTCCTCTCCTAGACCAAGAAAAACGCCTGTTCTAAACTTTAATGCTGAAAAATTGGTAGATTTAATATCATGGGAGTCACCGGTTTATGAACCAGTCTTAACTACCTCTCTAACAAATTCTGAAATTAATGTGTTTTTATCAAATCCTATGCAGGTGCCGATTTGGCCATGTCATGGACAATCTGTTGAACGTTGCGTAAAGCAAGTTACAGAAGCTTCAAGTAGAGTGTACACTCATGAAAAGAGAGAAGGATTTGTCCGAACTCAAGAGGCGAGTAGAAAGTTAATGCCTAAAAATAATAGTAAGCAAGACCTTGAAAGTTTAACACAAATGTTTTTGTATTAAATTTATAATATATATTGAAATAATTCGATTTTTCTTTTTTAATATCTTGCTGTATTTCTAGCATCAATACCAATAAAATTATTACGCGATGTTAGGGCAAACTGTATTTAAAATACATTGAAAAAAATTTTAATATAAATTAATTTCAATCTAATTTCAGTTTTAAATTAATATGCATATTAAAAATTAATTTCAAAGTCTAATTTTGAAATAAGAAATATTTCATTTATATTTTATACAAATTCTTAAAGAAAGTACTATAATATCTAAAATTAGTTTTAATAAACATTTATATTTCAACTGATATTTATCAAACAAAGTAGAAAAAAAGCTTATTAATCTCCAAGTAAAAATCGGTTTTTTTTGAGAAACCAGGTCAAAATTTTATTGAAATATAAAAAGTTAAATCACCTAAGCAAAAAATTTTTTAATTCGATTTTTAAAAACATATTTGGATTCTCCGTCAAATTTCGCAACTTTAAGTAACTACCCAATTTTTTTTCTCGAAAAAAATCAAAAATCGACACACCCTATTGGTACAAGTGGCAACATTATGCTGAAATTTGCACAGGTCATACAGAGAGCAATAAACCATTTGCTGTATTTCGACTATTGCTTTTTATCGCTTTGCTACTAAATAGTTTGCAGGGATGCATTTACGTGCTGACATTATTTTTAAAAAGAGGGGAGCATTTAAAACGAAGGAAGTTGTTCTTGACAATGTATCTGTTAGAGCAGTAAAATGGTATGACTATAGAGATGTTGTAGCTGCCAGTAGTGTTGCTAGTGCCCAGCTCGTGTCACAAGTGGAAAGAACAAAATTAAACATTATACAGTTCGTGGGTGGTGTTGATGCTCTTGATGCACTCATTGCATAGTACAGGATCCACATTTGATTAAATAATTATCACCACAGGGTTTCCTTTTCATTTTTCGAACTTGGTAATTGTGAACCGGTGACATCGACGCGATTGCAATTCCTTAGGTGAGCCAAAAATAATGCAAATGGATTTGTTAGCCTACAGAGCATTTAATGTTAAAACACTAAGTATGGAAGACAAGGACATGTCCAAAAAAAAGGGGTCCCCTTCTACTATTAAATGAGAATTAAAAAAAAACAAAAAAAAACAGGACCAACTATAGCTATTCCATTACAAGACGTAAGATCAGATGCCGTGGGACACTGGCCTGCGATGGAGGATAAGCGACTAAGATGCAAACGTCCTAATTGTAAGAAGTAAAAAGTGATTAAAATGCTTAAAGAGCAATGTTCACTTATGTCTTTACAAAAACTGGAATCTCAGGAATTTTATGAATTGGTTTCATATTTTGTTTAGCATAACAATTGAAATGTCTAATACTAATTTTGTGTCTAATTGTTTATATTGTTATGTGCATTTTTGTTAAAATTTACCATTTTATCCTATAATGCCTGTTGTCGTGTTTTTGCATCTAACCTAAAATAACGTATATTATATACACTAGATTGAAACAGACTAACTAATATTTGGCATCTATTAAAGAACAAAAACAGAAAGAATTCATTTTTTAAGTTGTTTAGAACATAATTCAGGCAATAAGGGGTTAAATGTTTTGGGCGACAGATTTTCATTGGGAGGAGACAAAAAATTTGTAACAGGAAATTAGTTATATTTCATACCATTTACAATCTAAAATTTATCAAATGATTTTTTAGCACTTGTTGATTTAGAAACTTTTAGAACATTAAACCTTATTGTTTTGCTCAATGGACGACATTGTCCGACAGTCACTAGATCGCCCAAAGCAACGTCACTAAAAAGAAAAAAAAGTTATTTTAATACATTACATAAATTTAACATAAAATAAATTGATATAATACAAACTTACAGAAAACAAGGAGACATATGAGCAACAAGGTTCTTGTGACGTTTTTCATATCTTTGATATTTTTTTATGAAATGGAGGTAGTCTCGACGAATAACTATTGTACGCTTCATTTTTAAACTTTTAACGATACCAGTTAAAATACGACCTCTGATGCTTACATTTCCTGTAAATGGGCACTTTTTGTCAATATATGTTCCTTCAATAGCCTAAAGTAAAAATAAATTATTCTAACGCAAAAAATTTATATGAAAAATATTTTTCAATGAAAAATAAAGAACATAAAAATTTATCGAGAGCTCAGAACAGATTATTATCATTAAACTCAAACAATGTAGGTAAAATAAAACTTCATCAAAGCTCTTTAAGCAAAATTAAAACATAAAAATTCAGTTGTTTCCATCAGGCTCATTAAATCATTAAAAATCATTTAATATCAATTTAAATGTATCATCATAAGGAAACATTACAAAAAATAAAATCTTATAGATCTGAAATTTTATAAAATAGCGTTCACCGAAGCATTCTAAAAACAAATTAAATAAACTTTGAAAATCTTTCAAGATCAAAATGAGAACAAACCAAACAAAATAAGTTTACATATTGTTTACATATTGATTTTCTTAAAAAAAAAAAAAAAAAAAAAAAAAACTTCAAAACTAATGAACATTAGTTCAGATATAAATTCAGAACAAATGACTTCAATCGCAGAAATAGCCAAAAAAAATTTTTGTCAATTTTCTGTATTTAGTCCTTTATTAGGTCAACTAACACTAAAATCATGATTTGATTGCTTTAATCAAACTTAGGTGACTTGGATTAGCAAATTATCAACTTACATATTTCAGCTAAGTGGCTGAAACAAATCTTTAAAACTACTTGTAAAAATGCATCAACATTTTATATCAGTGTAGCATTAGGGATGTTGCTATATTTCAGATGTGTAGAATTATCAAGTGAATTAATTCTCAATATTCTTTTCTTTTTTACAAAAGTTGTAATTCAAGACTTGGTATTAAAGAAACAACTATTTTAAATGAACTGTTTTTTAATGCACAAAAAGTTTGCAAGAGAAAAGGTCACCCAATTAATTGCTAAAGGCACGAGTTTAGTTTGAACAATACAATGAATATTTAAATTTAAATAAAATTGAATTCAATTAAAAGTTTATATTTTTTGATGATATAGTCCTTTAATTATCACTAAAATCTTAATTTCTGTTTTTATTTATATTTCATAATTCTTAAATTTTCATCGATGGTGCTTTAACTGTCACTAATTTACGTTTTTATTTATTTCATAATTCTTAAACTTTCATCGATGCGTGCGTGTTTAAATATCTATATAAAATTTTGACTTTAAAAATTTAGCTATTTATTTATTTTGTTATTTTTTACACGCTAATCACAATTTTTAACTTTTTTTTTCCAAATGTGTATACATAAATTTCTTTGAGTAATCTTTTTACAAGTACTAATACAAAAAATAAGATAAAAAAACTAAATAAAAATATCTTTTTAACAGTCAATGCTTAGAGAGCTGGTTAATATTTTTCTGACTATTTCAAATATTTTTGATTTGGCATTCACTCTCAGATGCTTAACTTAAATTTGTATTGAAAACTTGTTTTGTTGTTATAATACATTTTGGATTGGTTTGTCCACATTTTAATCCCAGAATCATTAGTTTAAGATTGTTCAATGATTATGTAACAAAAGCAAGATAGTCTAATTTATCAATAGATTTTTTTAATTAAAAAGTTAAATAGTTTAAGTAAATAGTCAAATTTGGATAAAACGCAGCTTTTAATTACTTTTAACTATCCTAATATATTTTATAGTTTAAAGCTAACGAAACACAAAATAAAAACCTATTATAAAATAATTATATTGAGAGCTCAGAACTTGTTATTATCATTTAAAATCAAACAATGTAGGTAAAAAAATATATAATCATCAATGCTCTTTAATTTAGGTAAAAAGAAATTTTAAGAGTTTCCATCAGGCTCATTAAATCATTCAAATAATCATTTAAAATCAACAAAAATCATCATCATATGGAAACAAAAGCTTATACATTTATTCAATGCAACTAGTATAGTTACAGGCAAATCTCTAATCACATCTTAACTTGGCTTTTTTTTTTTTTTTACAAAATTAATATTACTAGTAACTAAAACTAGTATTACTAGTTACTAATTGACTAGAGTAGATTATTTAAACTAAAGCTGCATGCTTAGATAAGTTAAAAAACTTAAGTTTTCATAGCAAACCTAAAAATATGTAAAAATCTTGTAATAAGATGAAAAATAGTTAGCCACTTTATTGATATTTTCTGAGAAACAGTTGAATATTTTAAATAAAATTGCAGCAATGAGTTTTATAACACAAATCAAATAACACAATTAAAATATAAGGACATAAACTTGAAAAGTTTGACCTTATACTTAAAAAAAGTTTAAAAATGATAACTTAACTTTCTTAAAATAACACATTCAAAATATTTCATAAAAATGTGTAAAAAAAAATTAATAAAGAAAACTTAAACTAAATAGGCATTATAATTGTAGATTTAACTGTTACTTTTAATTTTAAAATATTTGAATTCAAAATAAATGAGTTAAAAAAGAAGATTAAACATTGTAAACCAAGTTTTATCAGGATGACCAGAAAGTGTCCCCTGAAGGTATGCTGTAGTTAATTGAATTTTGCAAGTCATTAGGAAAAGTCAATGGTCAAAGATATAACCATAGCTCTGCTGGACCTTGCGTTTGATCAATTTAGAATTAAAAAAGTATGCAGTACTTTAAAACTCTTATTCAAATGAATGCTAAGTTAAAAAATTAAGAAATAATTTGTTAAAAATTTAAATAAAATTATAACAAAAAATACAAATATTCTCTACCTCCCTTGGTGTTTTAAATCCTAAACCAACATTTCTTACGTAGCGAAGTTCTTTATTTTTGGTTGTTTTAGCGACAACCCTTTTCTTGTTCAAGAAGATGGCTGGTTGCTTTTGAAACGCCCTTTCATTCTATAATATGACAAATGAAAATTTTAATTTCTTTAGTATTAGTAAATACATAAACACATCAATAATACTCTTATGTAGAATAAAAAAGTATAGATGCTAAAGTTAACTACTTAAAAAAGTAATATCGCTTTATAGCAATTTTGACTATATAAAAATAATGATACTTTGATAATTTTAATACCAGGAATATAATCCATTTTTATTTTATTATGAACAAAATACAGGATATCTTGTACAACGGTCTATTTAAGAGGCTTTTTACTTTTATAAATAAAAACTTTAAAATTTACTTGAAAAAAACACTAATTCCATGAAACGAAAACTTTTTCCTTGACAAGATAATAGAATATATCACTTAATCTTGTTTATAACACCAAAACAAAGAGGGAAGAAAAATGACCTGCTCTGCCATCTTGTCTTCAATGCGACACCTCGTATAAAAGAATATAGACTCGGCTCACGTTGTTTGAAATTAGATAAAATCCCACAATGCAGTTTTAAATTTTATGATAAAATAACCGAACGGCAAAACAGCTCAAATTTTTTTTTTTTTTTTAATTACGGTAGAATTCCGCTAACAAGGACCCTGGGTAAGTTGGACTTTTACTCAATCGGACGAATTTTAAATTCCCGTTAATCTTTCTCTCTCAATTTAGGGTCAACGTGACGTCCATAAATTACGTCACGCTTTAAGGGGGAAAAGATAATGTTTTTGTGACGACTCATACAGAACTTGTTATTGCTTAAGTTGAACGCTTAAGTTGAACGCTTCGCTCACTTGTACTGTTTTTTGAGTTCCCTTTGGCAAAAAAGCTTTATTTATCTAGGAGTTTTATTTTGAGTTGCATATGAGTACATTTAATAACAAAAATTTCAATACTCGATAAAAAAAATTCAAACTTTGAATGCTCGAAAATAAAATACAGTTGCGTCAAATATAATTTAACCAATTAAACATTTTCAATAAATGAGTAAAAAAAAATATTTTAGATCACTGATATCTTTGATTAGGCCAAGGTGGTGATGTAAATTTTCCGGTAAAATTTGATACAAAATTTACCGGAAAAATTTAAATGGAAGAGGGTAAATTTTCCTCATGCTGAATAAGGAGGTCTTGCAAAAAATAAAGAAGGCTGAGGACTGGGAGCAAAAACGCCCTAAAACGCCCCTGCCCCCGAAAAAAAATGAGGGGGTGTAAATTTTCCATTGTCATAACTTTTGTAATTTAAAATTTTATCTACGAGATTTAAAATCTGTCGATAAATTTAAATTTAGGTTTAGATGGTAAAGTTGAAATTCTACTATATTAGTGCCCTCACATTTGGACAGGGTGGGCGCAATCTAGAACATCAAAAAATTCCGCCCAAGCACACATGCCACATAATGGCCCTGAGTAATGTGTATTTTAGACAACCTATTTTTTAAGTCGGAAAAAAACAGGTTTTAGCAATTTCGTGGCTAAATGATTGGAGCCCCCTTCTCCCCCCCCCCCCCCCCTCAAAAAAAAACTTGTCATTTGGGTCTCCAAATCTCCCAAATTTCTGTATGATCAAAAGAAAAAACACAGCATATTCAGAAATAGAAAAAAAAAAACTTCTGCAAAAAGAGTGAGGATGCGAGTCTCCTTTAATGAGGATTTGGATAAAGAGTGTTATATAAGTATTTTAAACACCCGATACTAAATTTTATCATTTAATTTTTCATTGATAATTACATATTTTTTAGTCATTTGTATGAGAAATAAGCATGGAACTCTTATTTACATTGCATCGCCCAAAATCAACAGTTTATCAATCCAGTTCTTTTGTTTTAAATTGTTTAAGGTACAACTGAATTCCAGTTTGCTCATTATTACGCAATGCATGAAAACACGCACTGCATAAAACCAGAGTTGCTTGTCCTTGGCCTTGGTCTTGCCTTAACGCCAAAAAATTAAGGCTTTAACCTTGAAAGTTTTGGTCTTGGTCTTGATTGTTCTGGCCTTGGCCTTCAAAAAAAAAAGTATAAAATTAAAGAATTAAAAGTATTCATTCGTTATTTTTATCTATTTTTATTTTTGGTTTTCATATATATCTACAAGTACAGGGGTGGGACCGCAAAATGTGAACACTTTTCTGATTGTAATAATTAATTTTCTGTTAAATATGAACTATTTTAAATGTTCAATTTGACCTCCTTGATTCTCGTAGATCATTTTACAACGTTTAGACCAACTCTTTAGACACTTTCTGATGAGTGAGAGAGTACAACTACATCTAACGAGAAAATAGTTATAATAAAACAAAAACGTTCACATTTTGCGGTCCCACCCCTGTATATTTTTTAATTGAATTCTGCGTATAACCTTGGTTTATTTTATAACATGTGTTTTAATTGTCGCAGCAATTGTTACCTACAGTTTAACGTAAGGCAAAAATTTAAGTCTTTGGTCTTAAAAATATTTGCGTAGGTTTTAACCTTAAAACTCTTATTATTGGCCTTAGCCTTGTAACTTTTGGCCTTGACCTTGGTTATGCTACTTTTGGCCTTGCTAACAACTCTACATAAAACCACGCAAAGGATGAAAAGCAAATAAAATCCTAAAACAATAGCAAATAAAATTTATGCTAATTTTAAATTGTTCATTATTGGGAAATCAAAAAAACCCCGTTGTTTTAAAGGAATTAGAAACACTTTACGCAGTTACCGTGCGCAAAAAAAAGAGCAGATTGACCTCTGAAATATTTGAGGAGTTGGTCAGAGAAAACAATAGAAAGTTTGCATTAGAAGGCTGTAATTTAACATTGGTTATTGATAATTGCACCGCTCATCCGAATACTGAGAATCTTAAATTGGTCACACTCTACTTTTTCCTCCCACACGCAACCTCATGTTTGCAGCCGATAGATCAAGGAATCATACAATCATCGAAGTGCAAATACCAAACTAATTTAATTAACAAGATCATAAATGATATTAAAAACGAAAAACAAATACTTTCAATCCCCATACTTAATGATATCAAAATCCTTGTTCATTTTTGGAATGAAGTTTCAGAAATCACTACTATTATCTGCTTCGGCAAAGTAGGATTTAAAAAAGAAGTAGGGGTACCCAACAAAAATTATGAATGTTTTTCTGCATAAAAAATTCAATTGATCAGTTGCGTCAGTTTGATGAGAATTTTGTTCTCATCAAACTCATCAAAATCCGGATGATTTTAATTCCAAAGATATGTTAACGATTGATAATGACGTTTCGGTTATAAGAGAAGTAATGACAGATGAAGAAATTGTTTAAGATATTATTAAAGTAGTTGACAAAGAAATGCAAGAAGAAGAAGGAAACAAAACTACTGATGAATAAGTGGCAAAATCAACAACTGAAAACGTTTGTAAAGTAATTGATACCCTTGTTAATTATTTGATGTTTACTCAGAGTGGTAAAATGGGAAGAGTAGATTTGAATGCTTCAATACAGTAGAATCCCGTTAAGCGTAACAAAACTTTGTGGAGAAATATTAATTTTTTATTTTTAACTTTTATTTGAACATTCTTTAAGGTCACCACCAATTTTGAAAATATTTTTAGAAAAAATCAATTATATAATATTATATTTACAACTTTTTTTTTTGATCAAATAAATAAATATGCAAAAATGTGTGTACTTTCGCCATAATAGGTTTTTGAGGTCCTTAACAACGCCATAGCAACGGATTTTTAAACAAGCAAGTTTCAACTCGTTCAAACATTAATATCTTATTTCTACTGCTTCTTATTTATTATGTGCTTTATAGTTAAGTGGAAGTTTTTAATTGGGACATGCTTCTTTTTGTAATATAACAAATTTTTTCTTTGTTTTTTGTATTTATCTCAAAACTTTTAGATTGGGACCATATGCAAACCTAAAATTTTCATGGGTGCTTTTTTTTATTCTTTGACTTAGATAACAAACCAGAATTACAAATTAATATGATGTCAAAATATGTGTAATACGTTTTTTTCTAGCCTTTTTTGTTATAAGGTTTTATAAACCTATTAAAAGTTACTTTTCAAATGTTCTATGCATATTCAGTGCATGATTCTGGTTCATAAAATATAAAGTGAAAAACGTGACCCCAATCTAAACAGGTGAAAATGTTGAAATACGTACAAAATAAAGATGAGTCTAAAATTTATTTTCACGCAAAAAAAAATTACTCAACAATTTTTAATAATTTCATTTTAATCATAGATTCAAAAAGAAATTTAACAGCTTAGAGTTTGTTATTTAGACTCTAAGCGATTAAACTACCCTAAAATAAGAGTAGCCTACTTTTAAAAAAGGATAGCGGGCAACTTTGAATGTTTCATAAAGTTTTTATTATAATTTTGATAAAATTATATATATATATATATATATATATATATATATATATATATATATATATATATATATATATATACACACACACGTATATACCATTAATTTTCATGGGTGGGTTTTTATTCTTCGACACCTACATAAAATCTTTTCTTTTTTTTGGACGAAGTTTTTCAAAAACAAACGAACTATTTTTTTTCCGCGAGAAAATGTCACGTGATAAAACTCACTACTTTTAAATAAGTTTTTTTTCCTCAAAAAAAATTATTAAAATTTACAATAATTAAAAAAACCCTGCTTTCAGTTGTGCGCCACCTTAAAGCGATGGCTGTAAACAACGCTTATAATTTTGTAAACAAACAAGACAATGAAAAATAACTGTACTGATCCCGTGATGTAATTTAATAAGGTAAGGGTTACTATAACATGTCGGTAACATTGACATTAGATTAAATGTTTTTACCCGTCATTCGTTAACTATTGTTTAATTTACTTTAACAGATGCTGAAGCCAGATATTGAAAAGTTGACGTAATGTTTGATTCCATTTCATCTAACCATTAGTTGTCTTACATCTAATGGTTAGATGAAATGGAATCAAACAAAGCAAACACTAAATTAAAAAGTTAATCTAAAAAAAAATGTACTAAAACATAAAATGTCGATAGATCTAAAAACCGATACTTGCACAAAGTTTAAATCCATACCTAATAATACTGCATAATAATCTTAAAAACTTCAAAACTTTAAGATGTAAAAAGTCAACTCTTTTCAAAAACTATTTTAAACAAGAAAACGTCTGTCACAAAGCAATCTAGGAAAAAATTTCAACGCTGCGAGATTTCTTCGAAGCCAGATGTTGAATGATTAATGTGTTGTAAAGCTTAATAATTTTATAATTCCAAAAAAAAAAGTTTTTTTTTTTTTTTTTGATCATAAATTAAGACTTCTATTTGACACTATTAGAACTGAAGCTAACTGATATCTTTCAAAAATTAATATTTCATTACATTTTTATTGCAATTTTACAACTTGATAATTTTGAAAATTTAGGTTGTTAGGAATATGTAAAATATTTTCCTTGTTTTGTTTGTCTACAACAATAATTTTACATTTACAATGTAAATTAACATTTACGGCACAAAATATGCTAATGTCAATGATACCCCACATAGAGGGTAGCAACGACAATTGCACATGACTAATTAAGTTTAATCACTTCATGTTAAAACTCAAAGTTTTAATGCCCGCATTTAAAACTTAAAGTTTTAATGTATTTGTTTTATATATACCTCTATGAAAAGTATGGTTTTTAAAATCTTTTAAAATAAGTATTTACTATAATCGTATTTAAGTTTATTAAATTTTACTCAGTCACAGATAGTAATAAGCTATGCAGTTGACTTAGCTGATCTAATCAACCCTAAATTATAAAAATGCCACCAAATGTAGCCTTGACAATGCACACCAAAAAGACATCATTTATGCGCAACATGGCACGGTTATTGCTTTGATATTTTTACAGCTGTTGATTGAGTCAGCCTCTCTGAGAGCTACCATAGAGAAATTACCACATAAATTTTCTGCTTACCCTAAAGCCTTTGTCTAAAAAGCCCTCTACAAAATAGTAGTTAGATACAATTAATAAGTAAGCAAGGTCAGTGTTTTTGTTGAGAAAGTAGCTTTTTTTCAACCAAGAGTCCCATGGTAGAAAAAAAAAAAGTATTTTACAATAAACGTCGTTTATCTTACTTGTATAACACTTTTATTTTTCTAATACTCAAAGCATCTGCATAATTTTTTCCAATTACTTGTACTTTGTTTAACTGAATTAAAAAAAAAAAGACTAAAAAATGCGTTAGCTTTGCTTAACCAAAATTAACTTTTGCAAAACAGAGGTTGAGATAACCTCTTGGGGTTCATCGACAAAGTACGTACGCTGATTTTTTTAAATCTGTGAAACGCAATGTTTTTGTTAAAAAACGATATCGTGTTTTAGTAGAGAAGGGGGTGTTAGACTCGCTGTCTCTAACACCTCCTTAATCTTGTACGCCTTTGGGCAACGCCCCTTACTCCATACCTTCCTACGTACTTTATGGAAGCCCCCTTATATAAATTATAAAAGTAGTGTTTCTAAAAATTCAAACAAAATCTTATTTGTGAGGTTGAGCAAAAAATCTCAGAGTATTTGTGATTACTCTGAAATTTTTTGATTGAGCGATTAAAAACTTCAATTAAAGTATTTATTATTCAATTTAATATAACTTCTACTTTTTATATCAATAACAATCTATTTGAGACATAATTTATCTAAAAATATAATATAACTTATATATATATATATATATATAAATATATATATATATATATATATATATATATATATATATATATATATATATATATATATATATATATATATATATATATATATATATATAGACTTTTTATAAAACTTTTGTTTAAAATATATTCAAGCAGGTGAAAATAAAAACAATAAAAACGTTCTGTTTTAGCACTAAGCAAACTTTAAATGACCTCCGCATTTATAATAAAGTTTGCACTATTCTACTTCGATGTTTTATTATTAAACATTTTAATATCTTTTTTTGCAAATCATAAATAACATGAGTGTGACCAGCTCTAACGATGCGGGAAAAGCGCTAAAAACAAAAACAAAAAACAAATGTTAGAAACAAATAAATTAAAAAGAGAAATTTTTAAAAGCCAGAACAAAAAAAAAAATGCATATTAATTTTGCATTAACTACATAGTTAACCCTTTACCGCTTTCGGTAACCATATGGTTACCACAACTTTCTAAGAATAATAAGGACTTATATACTTCGATTTTTAGTCTAATTTGTTTTATTCCTTAAAATATCATCTTTTAAAAACTAAATAAAGGAGCCATATTATCATTTCCGCATATTTAAAGTTATGTACAATTGAAACTAAAAAGTTGATTTTGATTAGTTAAAAAGTAACTCTTTTTGTAACAATCTTTATGACATCTTACAAATGTTTCCTCACTAATTTTTTTTGTATTTTTATTACCAAGATGTACATGTTTAAGGATAAAATATTCGGAAATGTTTTAGTTAAATATATAAGAAAATGCATATGTCTAAAGTAGGTGGTAACCATATGGTTACTCCGAACAATTAGTGTATATAATTGAACATGTTTACCTTTTTTTCATAATAATTACTGCAAGTGAAATAAGGCAATGTTTTTTTGTTTTATTACTTTAATTATGGAAAAATGCACTCAAAATATTTGTGTTTATGTTCATTGATATGCTTCTATAATGTTTTTTAATATATAAACATAGCTTAAATGAATAAAAAGTCGTATACGATAAAAGAAGCATTAGAAATATTGCTTGCTCCATGTTCTGATTCCGAGATGTCAGACTTAGATGAACTTGATGAAGAAGAAGCAGCTCTGCAACCATCCGGTGATGTTGATTCTGACATAGATCTTATGGTGGAAGATAATGATACAGAAAAGAATAAAAATACTACAAACAAACAAAAAGTTGAATTCTGTAAAGACTCGACAATGTTTGAAAAGTATATCCCTCAATGGGAAAATAAAACTCCTCCTGTTATCAATGCAGACTTTTTAGGACAAAAATTTAGTTTACCTCCAGAAAATTTTGATACTTGGACCCCATATACCTACTTTAAAATGTTTTGGAAAGATGAGCTAAATAAATTAATTTCGGAGCAAACAAACCTATATAGTGTTTTCAAAACATCAAAATCCATAAACACCAACACACAAGAGATCCAGCAATTTATTGGTTTACAAATGTTAATGTCAATTGTGAATCTCCCTTCATATAATATGTATTGGGCAAATGATACTCGATATGCACCAATAGCAGATGTTATGTCCATCAACCACTACAAATTACTGCGAGAAAATTTGCATGTTAGTGACAACTCTCAACAAGATAAACCAGAAAATAAAACAAATAAGCTTTTTAAAATTTACCCAGTATTAGATCATGTTCGTAGAAACTGTATTTTAGTATAACCCGAAATTGAACACTCAATTGACGAACAAATTATTCCTGCAAAAACCAAATATAGCGGTATTCGCCAGTACAACCCCAAAAAACCTGTAAAATATGGATTTAAAAACTTTGTACGTTCTGGATCTTCAGGCCTTATTTATGATTTTTTTTGTATTCTGGCTCCGTTGACAACCAAAAGTGCACGGGTTCTTATGTAGTACATAGATTAATCGAAACACTACCAAGAAACCAAAACTTCAGGCTTTATTTTGATAATTGGTTTGCTTCAATACCATTGTTTCTTTCATTAAAGGAAAAGGGATTTTTGCAGCAGCCACCCTTCGATCTGATCGAGCAAAAAGTTGTCCATTGCCCCATGAAAAAGATCTTAAAAAAATTGGAAGAGGTAGTCACAGTTTTCAAGTTGATGCTAAGAGCGGCTTAGCAATTACTAAATAGTATGATAGTAAGTGCGTTCAAATGATTACTAACTATTGTGAACCGCAATCAGTTGGCAAGGTAAAGCGATGGGATCGACAACATAAGAAGTTTGTTGAAATTAATTGCTCAACTGTTGTTCAGGAATATAATAAATCAATGGGTGGAGTCCATCTTTCTGATATGTTGATAGCACTATACAGGACATCAATAAAAACAAAACGATGGTACCTCAAGATCTTATTTCATTGCATTGATATAGCAAAAGTAAATGCTTGGCTCATCTATCGACGCCATAGTAATCAATTAAAAAGGCCTAAAAAATGTCAACTTAGTCTATTACAGTTTACAGTTTTTATAGCATCTGCTCTTGTTAAAACAAACATCATACAAAAATCTGTTGGTCGACCTTCTAAAAAGAAATCTAATGTCGGATTGCCAATCGAGCAAAGAAAACGCCCAGTCCATTTACCAGCTGACGATGCTCGGTTTGATAGTCCTAGTCATTGGCCAGAATTTCGAAGCAAAAAGAATAAATGTCGCTTATGTAAAGGTGGCACAGGGAGAGTTTACTGCAAAAAATGCAACTTATGTCTGTGTTTAAGCAACGCAAAAAATTGTTTTTATAATTTTCATAATAAATGAAGTGTCATGCTAAATCGTAAAATAAAATCTGGTGCGATTAGAGGGGGAGGCAGTATACCTGTCTAACTCTTAAAACTGGTATGCTACTAAGAGGTGACATTTGGAATATTTATAAACAATTTTTTTTTTTGTAATTCGTTCTATAACTTTGTAGTTTTATTTAAAGGAAGTTTATTTGTATTATTTACTTTTATTCCGTAAATGTTCAGAGTAACCATATGGTTACCATCAGTATTTACAAAACTGCTGACGTCAGCGCAAAAAACTTTTTAGATTTGAAATCAGTATCATAAATCATGAACTTGTGCCAAAAAAATAATTTTTTACTCAATCCTAAGACATAGTGAGTGGTAAAGGGTTAAAGAATACTAAAAAAACACATTTTTCATGTTAAATTAATTAGTTTACTGATAAACTTTGTAGTTTAGAAAACTAGATTAAAAAAAAAATTTTTTATCATTCCAAATGTCGGTCATGCAACCTAGTACAATAACCTGGAAAATTAAAATTGAACTAATACTGGTACCTTAATAATCCCCAATTACTAACATACTTACAAGTGCTCACCGAGTTTGAAACTTAGCTTACATGCTAATCTATTAAATAGATTAATTTAGTTCACAAGATGATAGTGCATTGACAATATCATAAAGACGCGAGTATACTACTTATTTGAAAAATATTAACCCTTTGAGTGCTCGATAAAATTTAAACGTCGTTCAGAAAAATTCAACAAAAAAAAAAAATCGGCAAAAAACATAACAAAAAAACAAACAAGAAAACAACTATTTTTGAACTTTTTTTTTTTGTAGATTACATAAGATTAAAAGCAATTAAATGATTTTAATGCACAACTGTTGTGTGATAATTAAAAAAACAGACTGGACACAGTTTAACACCACATAACTGACACTGCCAACTTGTGCGGACTCGAGTTTGGTGCCCAGCTACACATTTAACTTTTTTCCCTGCACCAACCTTTACAAGATTGTGACTATATAATGGACTGTTATTTGCAGTATGTTGGGGAAGTGGGTATAGGACAACTGTACTTCTAGCCACTTTAATCTCTCTTGATGTTCGTCTTTTAGAAATCAGTTTCACTGGAAAATAACTTCCGGCTAAACTTTCCACTATAGCTATCATAAAATCTATTCTTGACATTGGCTTTTGTTCATTTGTATTGAGCTTATACAATAAATAGCTATTTAAAATTGCCCTGTCAAATAAAAAGCAACTTTAGTTGTCCACTTTATTGTTTTACGCTCAGACAAGTACACATAGAGCTGTGCATCACCCAAATCTACACCGCCCATGGTTTTATTGTAAAGGACAACAACATATGGTTTCATAACTATATTTCCTTTTCTGTTACACATTTCAGTAAAACCTGCTTTGGCAACAGTAGATAGTAATATAAGCTTTTTTTTACCATCTTGGTACGCTACACACAACAAAGGAGACCTTTTCTATATTAGTAGTTTTTTAATTTTGATTTAATACAGATTTCTGGTAGGCCTTTCCTGTTAACTCTCATTGTGCCTGTTGCAGTGGTCTGATGAGCATCTAGATCTAATAACAGTTGAGAAGTATAATAATTGGGGTGAAATTATTCTATATTTGTGTGTTGATATGTATGTATGTATGTATGTATGTATGTATGTATGTATGTATGTATGTATGTATGTATGTATGTATGTATGTATGTATGTATGTATGTATGTATGTATGAGTGCATGTATATATGTATGTACACAAACACTACTCACTGACACTGCACAAACACTACTCACTGACACTGCACAAACACTACTCACTGACACTGTACAAACATTACTCACTGACACAAACCTCGGTGAAGGAAATTAGTTTGGCGCAAAAGACGAAAAACTAAACTATAAGTCATACCATAGGCAATGGCTGCTTCATCTGGGTCTTTTCCTCTCTTGCAAATTTCGAATTGACACATATAACCATTAGTGCTGTCTGAAACACACCATAACTTAATCCATAACGTAGAATGACGTTTGTTTTACATATATTGACGCAGATGTGGTGTCTTTCCTTTGTAGTCAACCATACTCTCATCTATAGAAATGTCTCTTTGTGAATAACAATAATAAAGAAATTTGCTGTTCAAATGTTCAATAAAAAACTGAATTTTACAAATTTTATTGAGTGGTTTTTGATTTGGTATAAGGATGTCTGTAAAATAAAGATATTTAAACCGGTTACGATTGAAGTGGGTAACAAACCAGGGAAAAGATGCACAAGAATGACTTATATCCCAGTACAGTTTAAGGTTAGCTTTTTTGATGAGAGCCATGTTGATTACGACTTCTCTTTTCTCTAAAAGATCGGTCTTTCCCTGTTTAATCCATCCATGACCTCTTGATGTTGGATGTGACCTCAAATGTTGTTGGTTGTTTTGAATCCACGTGTCAGCATAGTTATTAGTAAAATTTACATTAATTTGCTAAAATTCAGGAGTAAAAAACAAGTCAAGATATTCAATAGGTTTAGACTCAGGTGAAATTGAGTGCTTGGGTCCTGATTCATCAGTAAAGTGAATAACATCAGGAGCTATTTACATTTAAATATTTCATTTTTAAATGTAAATAGCTCCCTGAAAGCTTCTGCAAACTCTAAGTCTAAGAATAAAGTTGATTAAAAAATCAGATTTGTTTTATCAAACAGATTTAATGCAACAAAATACCAACAAAATACCAACAAAATACCAACAAAATACCAACAAAATACCAACAAAATACCAACTTAAATCAATAAATTATAAAACCTATAAATTCAATGCAACCTAAAGTTAATAAACTCATATTCTTTTAGGAATGCTTTTTCAACAAGTTTTTTTAATTAAATTTAAAAATGTCCAAAATGAATTTTAATAACCGCCCTTTTAATAAACCAACACAATATAATAAATTACTACCCCTTTCTAAATTTTAATACATAAATAACTCCTAAAATAGTAAAACAATTTAAAATAATAGCCTTACATATAAAAACATCATAATTATATATATATATATATATATATATATATATATATATATATATATATATATATATATATATATATATATATATATATATATACATAAATATATATATATATATATATATATATATATATATATATATATATATATATATATATATATATATATATATATATATATATATATATATATATATATATATATATATATATATAATTATTATAACTAATTAAAAAATATAACAAACTATTTTACCTACAAAAACCAAATATGTACCAAAATCTATCACAAGTCCAGTATTCAAGAACAAACATTGATAAAGAAATTGAAGCACTCACATGAGTTATTATAGCTACATGTTTTTAAAGAAAAACAATAAACTATGAAACCAAAATAAATAAATATATAAATATATAAATATATATATATATATATATATATATATATATATATATATATATATATATATATATATATATATATATATATATATATATATATATATATATATATATATATATATATATATATATTAAATTAAAAGTTGCAAGCAATCTGTAAATTTTACATATTCTATGCTCACTAGGGCATCCCGTACTTTTAAAAAAACAACTTTTCTTATAATAAACACTTGGCCCTTGGTATTTTTTTGCTAGAAAGTATATAAATTTAGAATCTGTTAAAATAAAGCTGCTATTAATAGGTCTTCATTTGCAAAAATTGATTTATTGCTATATTTTATTTACCTTGAAATTATCTTGAAGCGTAAATACATTTTTATGCGGAAGCAATAAAAAACCGTATAAACTTCTTGATAAAATTAAATTTTTTACATTTCACATCAGTTTTTCATAGGAGAATTTTGAAACAAAAAAGTTCTTGATGTTCGATTTTTTTTGAATTATATTTTTTGTAATTCGCTTTTATATTTTTATTAACTTTAACCCACAAATACTATATAGTTGAAGTAAAAGAGAAAATTTACAATGACTGGTTAAAAAACAAGAAAAAAAGACAAGCACAGCAATGTCTGACTTAAAAGGTATACAATTTAAAAAAAAATATATTTTAAATATATTATTAATATATCATAACAATAATATATTATTATATGTAATAATAATAATAATAGTAATAATATGATAAAATTTTATCTTAAGGGAAAGGTAGAGACTTTATTATATCTGAACTACCAACTTATGGTGCTGTTCTTTGAAAAGCCATCCTCATTAAAGAGTTGTCATAAAAAAAAGTATATCCATTAGATGATTTGGTTAGGAAAACAAGGTTAGAAGTTGTTAAACAATGGAAAAAAGCAAACTCAGACTTTTTACATCCAGTTATTTTTACAGATAAGTCCATCGACAGAAAGATCAAAAAAATTTACAACGATGTTCAGGATATTTACAGAAAAAGATTAACTAAAAAAGTAGAAATTGACAAAATAATAAAGTCTTTGTCACGACTCTTTGATATAACTAACTGCAAATGTGCAATTTTATTCTGTAATGAATCAAGTTGTCTGGGATGTGAAAAAAGAGTTCATATTGACTGTAAATGTGAAAAGTCAGTGAGGATTCCTATAATAGAATTAGAATTTATTCACTCACAGAGAAATAAAGAAGGAGAGCAGTCTCAAATTATGATAGGATCAAAAGACTACATAGAGACTAAAAGGAAGTGAAAGGCATTTGAGCTATGAAGTAAAAAGGAACAGAATTTGAAAAAGTTCAAAGAAAAGGAGATGATGAATAGTATCCATTCAAAAAGAACCTATGCTGAGGTTTCAGAAAAAAGTAACAATGAAGAAGAGTGCTCTAAAAATGAGTTTGAATGTTCTAGTTACACTGAACATATTGATTTTTTAAACATAAGTGATGATTTGAAAGTAAAGCGAAATTATATGAAGATTCAAAATACTGCTATTGTTGCAATAAGATATGAAGTTTCAAACACTGCTGCAGGTGCAATTGCTTCAGGATTTTTAAAAGATTTGGTAGAAGCTAAAGTTGTCCCAGAATTAGCTCTTTTTTTATTACTGGACAAAAACAAAGTGCATAGAGCCAAAGATAAAATTATGTCAGAGTGTCAGGTTTTTGCAGAGAATAGATTAGATTCTGAGAATGTTTCTTGTATTCTCTTTGATGGAAGAAGTGACAAAACCAATTTTAAGACATTTAATGAAGAAACCAAAAAATTTTATCCTTTGATTAAAAAGGAAGATCACTATACTTTAACTGATGAATATGGTAGATATCTTCATCATTTTACAATAGGAGAAATATGTGAAAAATTAAAAACTAAGCCTGCCAAACATATAGCAAATAAAATATTTCAATGGTCTATTTTGCATCGTGTTGAACATAGCTTAAAGTTCATTGGTTGTGATAGCACAGCTACAAATACAGGCCATAATGGAGGTGTTTAGAGATTAAATTAGAAAGAAAATTAGGGTGGCTAATATGCTCTCTTCACACAAACGAACTTTGTTTTCGGCATTTAGTAGAAGACCTTGATGGGAAGACAACCTTAAAGACAGGGTCTTCTGGACCGATTGGTAAATTGCTTTTCAAGGTTACTAAAATGGAAAGAAATTACAGTTTCAAGCCAATATCTATAGGTCCTGGTTTAATTGAACCTGATGATGAAATAATAAAAGAGTTGTCTTCAGATCAGAAATATGCTTATAAAATATGTCAGACAGTAATTTCAGGAACTGAAGATTTGGCAAACCAAAAACCAGGCACTATAGTTCATGCATGGTGGCTCAATACAGGCTCTTCCTTACTAAATCTAAATATTTCAAAACTGTTCTATATTTACTGACATTATTGAAATAAGTTTTTAAAGTTTTTTTACCATCTATATAGGATAATCTTAGACATAATATGATTTTGGTCCCCCTCCCCATTTAAGTTAATTTTTGAAAACTTAAGGTCAATTTTTGCAAATGTTGCCTTTATTCTAATAAATTTATTTATGTCTTTCTTTAATGTATATACCTAATAGCAAAAAAATGATAAGAGCTGAGTTTTTAAACAAAGTTGAAAAGTACGGGATGCCCTAATGCTCACACTCAGACTGTTCACACACTAACAAATATTTATGAACATTTATATTGGTCCTAAATATGCTTGTGATTATCAGCCAGTTGGTTATTTAAAAATATATATTATTTTCATGTCTTATAATTAATCATTTCATGCATTATAATTATATTATTGAAAGCTTTAATAAATAAAACAAAATAAAAACAATATAAAAATATTAGAAATAAAAACTCTAAAAAAATTATTCTATTATTATAGCAACAATTTTTTTGTTGAAAATAAAATATTTATTTGATATTCAAGAAGATATAGGAGCTCTATTTTTTTAAAAGTGTCATCAAATAACAACTGCTAATATTAAGATTAATTATAAGAGGATCATAATAATTGTAGAACAGTTGTCTAGTTAAGGCTAGAAAACTGTTTTTACAAATATAATTTGCTACAACAATAAATATGAAAAACTTTTGGCTCAACAAGGCAACCAATATTAATTGTGTAGTCTTACTTTTTCAAAACTAAAAGACTCTAATAATAAAACTTTTTATTGAATAAAAAGTTTTATTATTAGAGTCTTTTAGTTTTGACTTTGGCAAGATCAATCATTGATATCAATTGACAATTTTAACAAAATAGGAGTTTTGTAACTTTTTGAATATCAAATAAATATTTTTTTATTTAATTTTCAAAAGTAAATGTTTGTCGGTTTAATAATTTTACTATATTATTTTAGAGTATTTTTTTCTAATAATTTAGTATTGTTTTTATTCTGTTTTATTTACTGCTATCAATAATATAAAGGCATGAAATTAATAAATTTGTTATTTTATTTTAAAATTTAAAATTAGCAAGCAGAAAAATTAAATTTCATTTGAAAAAAAGTTTTTTGAGATTCAGCAAAATATTTTCTTAAAATGCACAATTTTTGAGGACTTTAAGATGAAGTTCAATTAAAATTGTGTGAAAATATACAATATGTGACACACACGTTTACTATGTTTTTGTTTTAGATTAAGAAATATATGAAACTCTTTTACTTTATTTAGTGACTAATGTTTAAGGTCAAATTTGCTTGATAATGAGCTATCCATAAATTTTCAGTAAATATAGAGGGAAGGGGGCACTGAAATGTTTGACAATAACTGACAATGGGGAGGGGGTGGGGCATAGAGACCAAAATGATGTCAATTTAAAAAAGTAGATTCTAAAGTTATTTACATCAACAATGTGGTTATAGAAATGGTATTTACTTTATGGGGAATCCAATTTCCCAGAGACATAATTTTAAAATTTACCAAGGAATTATTATTGTATTACCATTTTGTTGTCAATGTAATTGTTTACAAATATCAACTTTTTGTATTTAAAAATAAAAATCGTTATTCCCTCCTTAGCAAATTATAAATTATGTTTTAAAGCTAACAACATAAATTCATACTTCAAATAAAATTGTCATTATTTCAAATACAAAACTTTAATTGCTCTCTAGCGGCTTGTAAAACGAGATGCAATGTAAACACATAAAGTCATTATTGGAAATAAGAAATGATGATTGGTCCTAAGGGACTTGAAGAAATTATTTTAAACAGTTTGCGCTGATAGAAACAAAATCATTATTTTGATTGTGATGTAAAAAATACTGATAAATTAATAATGCAAATATGGATAGAGCCGCATTGCTTAACTTATTGATGGTCTCATACGGAATTGCTCATCCCGATAAAAAAAGGGTAATATTCGGAAAGAAGTTCATAGTATATGAAACTCATTAAAGGGAGAGAAACTTGAATATAAGGATCTTGAATCAAGGGTTATGTATATAATCGATTCATTTAATGAAAAAGCAACAAAGTTCAAGAGAAGCAATTGTCATTTTCGGCCAATACTCCAAAACAGTCAGCCCCCACGTATATTCCTCTTGAATTTGACAAGTTTGTAGAACCAGCCAATCTGTCATTAATAATCAACAAAGTCCATTAACTTCTGATTTGTTGACCACTAAAAGTAAAAAAAAACAAGAACAGGGGCTCAAGATCGTTTCAATTCTGAGATTGCAGCTTTAAATTGTAAAGCTGCTGAAGACTGAAGCTGGAGAAAGAGAATTGGATTCATTATTGAAGCTGAAGAGGATGATATGAAAAAGAAAAAGAGGAAATTAGCTCATCTAACCAAAGAGATGACCAAGAAAAAGTATGATCAAGCTAAACAGAAGGTAACTAGAGAACTGAAAATAGCTAGAATGGAGTAAATCTGCTTAATACATCCAGAAGTCAACGAGAAACTGAAAATCAGAATAAAACTT